CCAGCGCCCAGATCTGTCCGTCCATCCAAAGACTCCTCCGGTAATTTCTTCAATCATCCATGGCTGGCTCGGGCTCCAAGGGCAAGTGGGAGGCCACCAGTGTCACCGAGGATGCCATCCTAGAACTAAAAAGCACGGGCTACCTACCGGCAAACGTTGCTCACCGCGTTCCAGAGGAAGGCCAGGTCGTCCCCACGCCGAAGCCAGGTGAGAGGGTGGTGTTCCTCCCTCACTTCATTAGGGTACTAGGTTTTCCTCTCCATCCCTTTGTTAGGGGGTTGATGTTTTTCTACGGGTTGGATTTCAATGATCTCGCCCCAAACTCCTTCCTGCATATCTCGGCCTTCATCGTCATTTGTGAGGCCCTTCTTCGGGTCCGGCCACACTTCGGCTTGTGACTAAAGGTCTTCAACATCAAGCCCAAGATTGTTGATGGCCAGCAAGCGGACTGCGGGGGCGCGATGGTCAGCAAACTCCCCCGGGTTGAATGGCTGGACGGTACTTTCATAGAGACCGTCAAGATCTGGTAGAAGAAGTGGTTCTATATCATGGAACTGCGAGGTGCAACTTGGGCGGAGATACCTGTCTTTCGATCCGGACCCCCCCCCCACCAGGCTGGTCTCGTGGACCAAGAAAGGCCTAGACTGGGGGTCAACCATAGAGGTAGAGTCGCTTCAGAGCTGGATATCCAAGATGATGAAGAAGAAGGTTGAGTTACCCAACGTAATTCAGATCATGCTTCGCCGGTGATTCCTGGCACCAACATCGGGCCGTCCCCATGTGGTCCTACAAGCCCGAAGACCCTGTCATTGTGCTCCGCTTCTACCGCACCTACCACGACAAGTTGCGGAAGGTGCTATTCAAGCCTCAAAAGACTGGCCAGCCATGGAGGAGGACATCAGCCTCGATGCCGTGACACCCCCTCGGGAGGTATGACAAATTTTACCATTATGTTCGGGTATTCCTTTTTGACAAAGTACTTATTTCCTCCTTCTTCCCCGCACCGAGCTGGTTGAAGAAAGTCATGCAGATCGATAGCCCGACCCCGCTACTCGAGGGCCCCAGGATGGCCTTGCTGACAGAAATGTTGGCCGTGGTGCCGTACAAGGCGCCGGAGAAGAAGGAGAAGAAGGAAGGCGAGAAGCGGGAGGACCGAGAAGGCCTCCGCCCTAGAGGACCCCCGGACACTAAGTTAGGGGAAACCCAAGCCTCCTTCGCTCATGACGGTGAGCAGGTAGAGGACGGGAAGGAGAGTGACTCCTCCCGAACAAGGAAGAGGGCGGCGTCGGATGATGCCGAGGAGGATCAGCCTCCTCCTGCCCCGAAGAAGCAATGCAGGGCCAAGGTGGCCCTGTCCAACGATAGCTCGGACTCCGTCGAGGAGTCTAAGGCTTCCGAAGAGGTTCCCGAAAGGAACCCCAGGGTCAAGCCCCCAGCCCAGAGGTATATATCCGAAGACGTTCCAGTGTGTCCAAACTAAGTTCATTATTAACCATATGTATGCCTTTAATATCACAGCCCGCCGCGCGACCTTCCCATTGGTCGAGTCTCGGAGGGGGATTCTCTACCAGCCGAGCTAGCGAAGAGCGGGACTGCGTCGCGCACCACGCCTCCTATGGTCATCGAAGAGACCGGGGATGTGTTGAGTGTTGTCCCGGAAGACCCCTCTCGGGCCGAACACGGGGGTTGGGGGTGATGGCATTATGGTCGAGGTGACCGCCGAAAACCAGGAGGGGACGACCCCTCTAGAGAAAAAAGAGGGGGAGTCTGGTCAATCTGAGCTCTCCCCAAAAACGGTTTCGGAGCCACTAAGGCACCATGAGCCAAATATTCCAGCCGCCACCGCGGGAGGAGCCGGGGTAACTCCGCCACCCCAGCTTGCTTCAGAGCGGGCTCCAACTGGGTGGCTGGATGTGGTGGAGGAGGCGCCGACTAACTCCTCCATCACTGAGGAGCACCATGCCTTGATGGGCACGGTTTTGCAAAGCATTCGGTCCATGGACAACTGGCTGAAAGAAGCTTTTAGCGGCCTCTTGACGGGCTTCATGGTAAGCCATGTAATGCCCTTTGTCTCTTAAATTTTTACCTATATGATCATGTTGTCGTGTGTACAGTAGCCCCCGAGCCCTAGGTGAGTTTGAAAAACTCATGCGGGGTTCGAAATAGCTTGAGGGTATAGATCATAGCCGTACCGAAGCCCCAGAGACTATGGTCGGTAGAAAACGCCAACGGATGTACGGGGGCTTGATGTCGCTTGAACTACGTCGGTATTTCCCCAAAGAGGAAGGGATGATGCAGCACAGCTACGGTAGGTATTTCCCTCAATTATAAAAACCAAGGTATCAATCCAGTAGGAGAACCAAGCAACACTATGTAAACGGTACCTGCACACAAAGAACAAATACTTGCAACCCGACGCTTATAAGGGGTTGTCAATCCCTTTTTGGGGTAACAGCACCAGAGATTGTCAAGTTGACGGGATAAAATTGTGATAGATTGGATAAATAGATCTCGATAGAACGCAAAATAAAAGATGCAAATAAAAAGTGCAACAAGGTATTTTTGGGTTTTTGGAATAATAGATCTGAAAACAAAAGCAAATAAAAACAGATCTCAAAGCAATAAAGAATAGACCCGGGGTTGCAGATTTCACTAGTGGCTTCTCTCAAGAAACAGCACATGGCGGGTAAACAAATTACTATTGGGCAATTGATAGAACCTCAAATAATTATGATGATATCCAGGCAATGATCAATATATAGGCATCACGTCCAAGATTAGTAGACCGACTCCTGCCTGCATCTACTACTATTACTCCACACATTGACCGCTATCCAGCATGCATCTAGTGTATTAAGTTCATGGAGAGACGGAGTAATGCAATAAGAATGATGACATGATGTAGACGAGATCTATTCATGTAGGAATAGCCCCCATCTTGTTATCCTTAATAGCAACGATACATGCGTGTCTTTCTGCCCCTTTTGTCACTGGGAAAGAACACCGCACTATCGAACCCATCACAAAGCACCTCTTCCCATGGCAAGAAAAATCGATCTAGTTGGCCTAACTAAACCAAAGATTCAAATGAAAAATACGAGGCTATAAATAATCATGCATATAAGAGATCAAAGAAGACTCAAATAATATTCATGGATAAAAGATCTGATCATGAACTCAAAGTTCATCGGATCCCAACAAACACATCGCAAAAAGAGTTACATCAAATACATCTCCAAGAGACCATTGCATTGAGAATCAAAATAGAGAGAGAGGAAGCCATCTAGCTACTGCCTACGGACCGGTAGGTCTACAATGAACTACTCACGCATCATCGGAGAGGCACCAATGAGGATGATGGACTCCTCCGTGATGGTGTCTAGATTGGATGTTCTGGAACTTGCGATGGCTGGAATTGTGTTTTGTCGACTCCCCTAGGGTTTCTAGAATATTTGGGTATTTATAGGGTGAAGAGGCGATGCAGGAGGCCACCGAGGTGGGCACAACCCACCAGGGCATGCCTGGGCCCCCAGGCGCG